TCAGGACCCTTCAAAGAATGAAAAATACTCAAGGCAAGGACAACTAACAAGGGTATAAAGCCCTCTCATACTCAGCAAAATCTAAAATTCCACACTCATGTCTAATATAGCTTTACTCAGTATATACTCAACCACCTTTACAAGAAGCTAATATACTCATCAGTGTGTGAGCTGCCAGGAAGGCCAATAATCTTTAAGTAGCTATGAATATTTATTTATCATAAGGCCATTTTTTTGAGTGACAAACTAAAGATTCTATATTTATTTTTTAATATGTTATGTTAATCACCATACATTATACCATTTAATTCATTTTCCAATATACTTGATTTTCATTTGCAATATAAGAATGTGCATTTTATGAACTATGGTTTATAATTAATATAGCTATTACTCATTTATTCAGCACTTCCTATATGGCCAGCACTGTGATGCTTTACATACATCATTTTTGTCTTAATCATCACAAGCACCTCAGGATGCAAGAACTATTAATACTCCCTTTTATTTTATTTATTTGTTGATTGATGGGGGGGGGGCAGAGGGACAGAGAGAATCCCAAGCAGGCTCCACACCAGGCATGGAGCCCACTGCCGGGCTCAATCTCACAACCCTGAGATCATGACTTGAGCCGAAATCAAGAGACGGATGCTTAAGTGACTGAGCCACCCAGGCGCCCCAACATCCACTTTCAGAAAGAGGGTCACAGGTGATGAATTTTCCCAAGCTCCCTATTAGAAGATAGCATCAAGATTCGAATCCACATCTGGCCCAGAGCTCTGTGATTTTAACCACTAAGCTTCATAAAGTTATTTGATTTCTTCCTATTATATTAGCCTTAATCGAACATTAGCTAGAAAACTGTATCAAGCTTAGCTCTTATTTATCTTCACTTTCAGTACTCCCCAACTGTGCTTTATATTTCTCCCATAAAAACATCTAAAACATAAGACCATCTTCACTAAAGATTCACTTCACTCGCTGAATTAAAGAGATAACATAATCACTGTTCTTTTAATCAATGATGTGTTGATAACCTATTTTAGTGGCTACTTCTGCTACTCAAGCAAGCAAAAGTAAATGATCCTCGCTGTGCCTATCATTGTAAAAATGCAACATGGTTTTCAAAGTCTTTAACAGCAATATCCTAAAAGCCCACCAGATGTCAACCTTAGTTCATAAAAATAGGCCATTTCCCACCTTGTAACACTTCCTTCTATGATGAAACAAGGGATCCAGAACTTTGAAAATGCCTATGCTTTTTTTTTTAATTTTATTTCATTATGTTATGTTAATCACCATACATTACATCTTAGTTTTTGATGTAGTGTTCCATGATTTATTGTCTGCGTATAACACCCAGTGCTCCATTCAATACGTGCCCTCCTTAATACCCATCCCCCCATCCCCCTCCCCTCTAGAACCCTCAGTTTGTTTCTCAGAGTCCATTGTCTCTCATGGTTTGTCTCTCCTCCGATTTCCCCCCTTCTAAATTGTATGTAGGTATGCACGTATGTTTTTTAACTTAAGAAGAAAAGTGTAACAGTAAGATGTAAAACATACAATAAGAGAAAGGGAGAGAGAAAGAAAGAAAAAATATAAATACACAAATTCCATGTTTGCCTCTCAAGGTCTCTAGCAAATACCAAGACTATTTCTGACTCTTCTGACCTATTTATTTCCTACTTTCCCCCCAGACTTTCTTCTATACCATTCTTCTCCTCCTCTTTGCATACCATAAGTCACATTTAATTGAATTAAATGAATCAATACTATTATCTCACATGAGGTATGAAATCTAAATTTTGAAAATCAGTATTAAATAAATTAAAAACAATTTTTCTTTATGTTAAACAGTGCTGTCCATGGTATCCATTCCAAGGTTGACCATAAACTTCAATATAAACTTGAAAATAATTCCCATTTATAAAACCATTGACTAATAAAATTGATCATCTTCATTTAGACAAAAATGTCAGATATTCCGCAAGGCTGAAAGAAAAGAGAAGAGAAAAGAAAAACTAGCCAATTTTTCCCCACATTTTCAGCCTGGTGGTTTTTATGTATACAAATTCTTTTGGGATTCATTGATCATCCAAGAACGGTATTTCATTTCTTTGATCAGTGCCCTACTGCCCATATTTTAACCTCGCTGAATTTTTGGTCCATTGCGTAGAAGAAATTCTCTACTAATAAAAATGCAACCGATTAAAGATTAACTTACCCCCAGGACAGTCTCTCTAGAAACAAATTCCAAGCATTATAATCACTAATTTGCACTATGTAGACTTAAAGACAGATAATCTTACTTATCCTAATTTAAACTGGAAATCTGCATGTATTTTAAGGCAATTATGAAAAGAAAAATGGCAAACCAGATTCACATAATCAGAAATCCAACCAGGCAAATACTTTACTTACTTGACACTTTTCAAAGGAAAAAGTTTTACACCCTAGAATATCTTAACGATATTAGAATATTTGTTGACTTATCAAACTTCCTATCTTGGACTCTATTTTACTTCCACAATATGAAATTGCAAAATTTTTTGGTTCTCCAAATATTTAAGTATACACTATATGTCAGAAATTGTAATCGGCACTGGAAATCTTTTGAATCCATGCTGTAATATTTATTATTAATAATAATAAAAGCATCTAAAATATATATTAGGTTCTTATTTGTCAAACAGTGTTTTAGCTTAGCAGGCATTATATCTTTTAATTCTCACAAAACCCTAAGAGAAATACTATTATCAGTCCCATTTAGAGATGGCCGAACTGAGACAGAGAGAGGCCCAGGAACTGTCCCAAGGTCTGTGGGATATGAATCTAGGTCTGAGTGATTCCAGTGCCCACTCTCGCTATAATTCCCTGGTTTAAAACAATGAGACACAGGATTATTTTTGGTTCAGAAAATCAGACTCACTCCTTCAAACATAGTAGTTCTACATAATTTGACACTAGGAAGCAGGTATCACAAAATGCCTTGGTACACTGCGCCCCACGTTCTATTGCCAAACGTGTTCAAAATTTACTTTCTCAGAAGGCATAATTCACTTATCGCTAATTTCTGGAAAGTTAATCAAAGCCCTATGTTCAATCATTAAAGAATTCTTTGGGGCTGAAATGTAAATATTTCATTATACATAGATTCTTGAAGAAACATTAGCTCTGTTAGGACTTCCTGTGAAAGAAACTAAGCAATTTTAAACCACCTCATGTCAGAGTAGCTAAGGGGAGAGCCTTCAAATTTAAGAAATGCATCACCCATATTTCATTCTATTCTAAATGAAAATTAATTCAAAAAAGAAATCCACTTCCAAAGCTCAGAGGGCTGCCTAGAAACTAACATCGCTGTCACTATCTATGTGTCCACAAATGGAACAGGTAAGGAAGACACAGTATTATTAGAAAATCCACCTTTCACATCAGCCCAAACTCATGTAGGAAACAATCTCACAATATTTTTCTGAATAAACTTAGTATTTTGTTTTAGAATCAGAAACCAGGCAAAAAGAACCATGGAACAAATTAAACTAAAATGGATTACTGAAATACAACTTTAATTTCCAAATCCACTAAAATTTCTAAATCCACTATACGATATTCTTATTTGAATAGTTTATCACAGAAGTAACTCTCCTAAAAAATTATATAATTTAAGAGGGAAAAAAGAGAGAAAGAGAGACATGATAAGCACTAGGGATGTTTATCAATAAAAATAAGCAACAAGGGAGATGAGTTTATAGCTCATTCAAAAACACCAGCCAAACACTCCTGCTATTTGTTTCTACCAAGTTATTGTCTTGGAAAACATTGTTCTCTCTTAAAATAACCTGCTTATTGTCTTTAAAAGCCACTGCATTTCCAGGGAGGGCTAAATAGCTCCCATGTTGTGATGCATTGACTAATAAAGTCAAAGTTAGTTATGCATAAAGATACAAAAGAAAGTTGGAAAGCTCCAATCCTCTGGGTATAAGGACACTAGCTACTGAATGAATCCACCACACACCCTTAGTCAAGTTAATGCCTGGTCCTCTACAGTATTTTAAGAATGACAGTTATTCAAACTATCATATTTTTCTGGATGAGGGAAATGACCACACTGGTGACTTACAGGTAGGCTAGTAATTAACATTTTTAAGGAAGGCCAAAATGACCTTGAACATTTTAGCGTTCGCTCTGAGAACTCCAATCTTCCCATTAAAACTCGGAATTTGCCTCCAGTCCTAAAGCTGTTGGGCCTGGGAAAGTCCCAGAGAAACTAGGGAATTAAAAAAAAGAAAGAAAGAAAAATGTGTAAGACAGACACTCATAGTACAGGAAGATTTTTATGAACTAAGTGTAACTCAAGATGTGTTCTATAAGCCTGTCAGGAGATGAACACAGAGTGTCCTCTAACCCAGCAGCATTGCCCTGACACAGTCCCCACGCTCTGGCCGTTTACCCCCATCCAGGCCCCTTTTACTCCAGAGTGGAGGGTGGGGGGCGGGAACTCCTATCTTAAGCCCTGACATCTGCAGTGTTTCCCAATAGCGAGACAAGGCCCCTCAGCTGGAGGAAGTGGATACTGACATGAGGAGAAACAGGGACAGAGAGCTAGAATTCAAGGCTATCAGGGAGTGGGGATAGAGTCACGCAGACTCTGTGAGGTCCCAGTGGGTCCTGATGGCACAGCCCGTGTGTCCGCACTAAAGTTGGCATCTCCAAAGTATCCAAGAACACAACCGGGGCGCGCCGGTACAAACTCGGCCTTTGGCTTTTCTGAAGCGGGTCAAGTTAGCACAAGGTTCCCGGTGCCTGGAGACCTGAGAGGCGTGGAAGGCTGGAGAGTCCCGCGAGGTCTCCACTCCTTGGGCGTCCTGCGGCTTCGCGGGGGAGGGGACCGGGGAACTAAGTCGTCTATGGGCTGGAGTGGGGAGCTGGGCGCTGGGCGGGGATGTCCGGGAAGAAGTGCGGGCTCAGTCCCGGAGTCCCAGAACGCGGGGGATGCCTACCTTGTAACATGGCCTCAAGTTTCTTCCTGTCCACGCGGAAGCGCTCCTCGCTCCACTCGGGGCTATGCAGAGGCGCCCCGGCGACCAAGTCGTCCTCGGAACCGGGCATGGGCGAGTCAGTGCTGCGTTCGCTGTTGGAGCCCGGGTCCGATTGCGCCGCCAGGTAGCCGGGCTCGCCCTGGGCGGCCATGGTGGGCGCGCGACGCTCGGGCTCCGGCTCCGACTGCGGCCGCCGCTCTGCCTGAGCCGCCGCCTCCGCTCGCCGGCCGGGCTCGACTGGCTCCCCGCGCCGCGGCGCTAGCTCGTCCCACGGCCGCCGCCGACGCCGACGCCGCCGCCAACGCCGCCGCCACGGAGCCCCCGGCGCATCCCAGCCCCGAGAACCGCCCGCCGCCCCGAGTCCCGGCCCGGATGCCGGGCCAGTGACTGCACCTCCCCCTGCCAGCAACGCCCGCGCGGAATGAGCGCGCCGCGCCGCCCGCGCCTCCATCCGCAGGGCTCCGGCGCCCCCTCCCCGCCCGCCGCCCCTGCCGCCGCGCGCTCATTGGCCCCGCCGGCCCACGGGGAGCCACGGCGGGCGGGCGCGCGGGCGGGCCGCCCCTGGCGCTCGGACACCCTCGCGCGCGCACACTCACCACGTACACACTACCGCTTTTCTGCGCTTACTCGTACAAATCTTATCCCGCACGTATATTTTCATGGTTTTTCCAAACACAGACACTTACCAGGTTTAAGCACAACATTTTCTGAACGCACACCAAATGCACACGTAATTCCCCTTCTATTCACACACACACTACACTCTGTAACTCACAGCCCCCGTCGGTCCCACAAGTTTGAAACAAGAGGAAGGAGAAAGGAGAAGACTAGCGGAAGAAACAGTGTCCATCTCTTGCAGACATCATTGGGGTCCTTGCTTTCACGCAGTTCATTCCTCCGCTAAAGTTCAAACCCAGATTACTCCTCTTATCACAGCAAAGTGGTCAGCTGCACAAGAAGTGGACAAGAGGCTTACTCTTTACTCTGAGGAAAGGGATTGTTTTCTTGAATGAAGTGAGGAGGGAGTCATTTTCTACGTGATTCTCAAGGAATTGATTCAGCTGATTTAAAAGGGGGGAGGGCAGAGTGGCGAAGAAAAGAGCCTCTAAGATGGAAATGGTGGTTAGCTGAATCCAGTTGGCATCTAGGCAGCCTGTTTTGTCAGGGACCGAGGGCTCCTCTCTGTTTTCAAGGTCAGTCTCATAGAGGAACACCAGCAAATGATCCTATGATCCTAACTGCCCAGGCCAGGCAACCCACCGCCACTTGCAAACTTAGACTTGATGCACCAGGGAAGAAGAAACTTGCTTGCAGCAGGAATGCCCTTGGAACTCCCATTTTGCGTTCACACTGATTCATCCCTGTTTGTTTTGTGACCAAAAGCACAATTTTTTTTTCTCTTTTGGGGGTGGGGGTTGGAATGGGAAAGCAGTTTGTTACTGTGCCACAGAGGGAGGCTTACTGGCTTACACAAGGGGCAAGTTATACTTAGGGTCAATAGAAACTCGTATAGGTTCAGTTGCCTAGTTAAAAAGAACTGTGCCATGTACTGCGTGTCCTGACAGATGAGGTAACTAAGACTCTGGGAAGTCAAGTGACATGACTAAGTTCACACAGCATCAGATAATGGAGCCAAGAATCAAACCCAGGTCCATGTACGTGGCACATAATTTCCACAAAACCCTACCTTACTGAGTGGAAAACCTTCCTTCTCAGAGTCACCTGCTGAAAAACTGGGAGCAGATAACAGCTTAACTGCTTGCTTGACTGCCATGTGTTTTTTCTCTGAACTTATTAATTACTGTGCAAAGCTCTAACTTAAACACCAAAACACGTTATCAAGGAGGCTTCCATCAGGGATGTTTGCCATCTTTTTCTGCCAAGAACTATTTGGGGGGAACCTAGGATTTTGGATAGTGTGTTAGGCTCAAAGAAGAGTTATCAAAAACAAACACCATCCCTAGGCTCCTGGAGCTGACATTCTAGTGAGAAAGATAGAATGTTGATCTAAATAAATAAATCATTCAGAAAAATATAAAATTGCACCTATATTAAGCATTACAAATAAGAGACTCAAGATAGGAAAAAATCTCTAATGGAGTAATTAGATTCAATCAGAGAGGTCAGTAGAGGCTTCTCAGAGAAAATGACTCTGGGGTTGAATAGAAGAAGTTTGAGAAGAATTTAACAGGGCAAGAAAGAGGAGAGTGAGGCCTTCCCTACAAATGACTATTTGATCATCCTAACATCCCTGAAGATAGATATTGTAATTATCCTTGTTTTCCAGTTGAGGAAACTGAGGCACAGGAGGTAAAATAAATTACCCAAATTTACACAACTCAGTAAATTATAAAATCAGGATTTGAACCCAGGAAGTCTCCCTTGAAAATTAGACTTAGCCGCTAAGCTATATTGGCTCTCAATAGGATCAGCAGAAGCAAAGATCCTGTGGTGGGAGGAGGCAGTGTACATTCCTTCAGTGGAGAACCAAAAAGGAAATCAGCAAAGCTGGTAAAAGAAAGTAAGGGATGAGATGGTGCTAGCTGAGGGAAGAGAGGTGAGAGCAGAGTATGTAAGCCCTGTAGGCCCAGTTAAGGAGTTTTTGTCTTTATCCTTAGAACAGAAAGAATCCATGGAGAGGCTTTAAGTAAAAGATAATGTACTTAGATCTGCATTTTAAAAAATGACAATGGCTATAGTATGGAGAACAGATTGAGAGACAAGGATAGAAGTACACCAATTAAGAGACTGTCCAGGAAGTTTAGTTAATAGATACTGGTAGCTTGCCTAGAGTGGTGAAGATTGAGATGTGAGAGGATTTGAGAAATATTGTGATTGCAAATGTCACCAACTAGATTGGTGATGGATTGGATATGGGGTGATGGACAGAGAAATGTCAAGAATGACTCTAGAGTTTTGGCCAACAGAACTGGAGAAAGATAGGTACCATTTAGCTAAAATAGAAAACACTGGAAGAGGATTGACTTCACTGGAATAAAGATGAATTTGAACTGGGCATATTGAGTTTAAGGTGCCCTTGAGACCCCAAAAAGATATGTCATATAAGCAATTGGACGTATGGGTCTGGAGTTCAGAAAAGAGATCTTGACTGGAGACAAAAACATGTTACTTATTTGTTTATAGGCAGTAATTAGCCGTACACATGGGTAAAACTGTTTAGGGAAAGAGAAGAGCATTAGAAGAAGGGAGAACCAAGGAAAGAGCCTTTCACAAATTCTAACATTTAGTAATCAAGAAGATGACAATATAATAGGAAAGGAGATGGAAGGAAGGAAGGAAAAAACAAAACAAAGTTTTGTTATGTAAGCCCAGGAAAAAAAGACTACTTCAAAAAAGAAAATGTGATGATCTTTGTATAGTAGGGAGGTCAAAATTTTTTGATGAAGGTCACTGGGACGTTAGCAAGAAAATCAGAATGGAGTGGTGAAGGAGTGAATACAGCTAATGAAATGAGGAGTAAGGACAACTCTTTGGGAAAGGTTTGGCTGAAAAGGGGAGCAGAGAGCAATAGCTGAAGGATAATGTAGGTACAAGAGGGGCTGTTTGTTGTTTATTGGGTTGGTTGGCTGGTAAGTTGGATGACTAATTTAATGGGTGAGGTTTGAGCACTGGAAAAACCACTGGAAATGATCCATTTGACAGAAATTGAATATTTAAGAAAAAAAAGAGGAGGAATCAATATTATAGGGCTTTGCAAGCCTGAACAGAGTAGACTCCAAGACACAAACAGAAGCAAAAAACTGTTCATCCAAAGATGAACAGATAGGTGTAAATGTATGTCACTTTGTAGATTTCATTTCTAGAACTCAAGGGAATTGTCACCTGATGGCTTTTATTTTCCCAAAAGAGTAAAAGTCAAAATTACCTGCTGAGAATGTGGGGAAAGGAGAGCTGCTAAAGTTTGAGGAAAATAGAGATTTTCATGTTTGTTTGTTTACAGAATTTTTAAAATAGCCTTTTGCTTCTGTAAAAGAATGAATTGGTACTGTTGAGAGTCCAGATGATGTTGGTAATCACAAATTTATAATAGGATCTGCCTGCTTGTCCTGACTTTATCCACCAGTGCTAAGCTTCTTGGGTGCAGGTACAGAGAAAACATAGCAGCCAAATGGGCAAAACACCAGGAGCTAAAAGGCAATAGAGCAGTGACTGATGGAAAATAATTTCCAATGTAGAAGTTTACAGTCAGCAAAAATATCAATCATACATGACAAATTCATTCTTAGGTATGAGATCTTTCAAAAGAGATTATTTTCCTTGTATTATTTCTGAGTAAGCTACTGAAGATCATGTGTCACCAAAGCAAGGGAGTAAATCAAGATGAAGAGAAAAACATGAAACATAGGAAACAAGAGATCCAGCACATGACAGAGGAAAAGAGGGTCCCCAGGATAATAGTGAAAGGAGAGCTCAAATTGGAGTAGGTCCTAAGTCTCAGGGTTGAGATTTCTTCTAAATTAAATAAAATGCTTGAAGAGTATAAACATATTCAGAGGAGCAGTGGGGGCTTTGGGGGGGGCAGTGGTAAAAAGGTGCTTTAGGAGAACATTAATAGATAATGGTAAACTTTTAAAAATTAAGAAGTACCAATATAAGCATGTCATTTAGAGGTATGGAGGTAAAAATAGAATCAAACTAAAAATGTTGGGGGGCGGCTGGGTGGCTCAGTCATTAAGCATCTGCCTTCGGCTCAGGTCATGATCCCAGGGTCCTGGGATCAAGCCCCGCATCGGGCTCCCTGCTCCGCGGGAAGCCTGCTTCTCCCTCTCCCACTCCCCCTGCTTGTGTTCCCTTTCTCGCTGTCTCTGTCAAATAAATAAATAAAATCTCTAAAAAAAAAGAAAGAAACTAAAAATGTTGGAAGTGGTTGCCTGTAGGAAATGGAAAAAGGAAGTAAGGCATATGGTACTTCTGGTTTTTACACAAGTCTTCTAGAGCAATTTGATTCTTTAAACCATATGGATGTATAGCTTTAAATTTAGAAAAGCTTATGAAGTAACATATGCTTATAAAACCATTATTGAAATAATAAATAGCAGAATCAGCTTCTGAGTTGTGTGCTCTTTCTACAAAAATTGAACAAGAGTTAGAATAATTGACAGTCTTTTTGTTTTAATAGAACATGTTTAT